GATCATCAAGATGCACTCCTTCCTGGATTACATCATGGGAGGCTGTCAGATCCAGTTTACAGTGAGCACACACACACACACACACACACACACACACACACACACACACACACACACACACACACACACACACACACACACACTACTGTAACTGAAATCTCATCCCTTTCATATGGATGATGCTAAAAACCACTGGGACTGAAACAATTGGGAATAAACTCAACGACACGCAGGACCAGGAAGTGCTTTATGCGGAAGGTGTGGATACACATTACCACGTTGTGACTCACGACACTGACACAGAGGCAGGTGGGTGGGAGGGTGGGGTTTTTATTTTTGGTGACATTTAGAATGAGATAGGTGATAATTACTCTGCAATGGCCACTGGGCCTGGCCCCCACAGCACCCACCTCCGTCGGGGAAGAGGGACCAAAACACAACGCGGTAGCCTTTCAGCACACCGTGCAGCGTCAGCCGTGGAGGCTCTGACCACGTGATCACCGCCTCGTCCGACGTCACGGAGATGGCTCGCACGTTCTGAGGAGGCTCGCTGGGAACTGGAGAGAAAGGGAGAGAGGGTTAGAGATACAGGGTTTAAAAGTACATGACATTTTATTTTCTTCCCTATTTCATTATTAATAGTTCACATTTGTAGCAATTTATGTCCGGAAAGTGCTAAAGTAATGTAATGCATCAGTTGTTGTGGTTGTAACAACAATGGAATTCCCACATTTTTCAGTCATACAATATTACAGCTTCTTTTTATTTAAACTTGTTCACACACACAGACCTTATGGCAACATTTGTGTGAAATTCTGGATAACACTTATACCTCAATGACAGATAGATTTGACACTGATTTGACAGATAGTCCAGATACAAAACAGTTGTGAGTCTGTTTTAACCATTTCTACTTGTTTCTACTTATTTGTACTAAAATATCCTTGCTGTTGCTAAGAAGAACTGACTGATCCAGCATGGCGGCTGAAGCACATATAATGAATGACTACTCAACACCAACAACCCACAGGCAATCTCTGCTGAAACAAATCAGTCAAATAAGCTCAAATTAGATCTCAATGGCTCCTTGTTCAGCGCTAGCTTTTAGAGCACAGAGAGGAGGGGGTCGGAGAAGGGGAGGAAGAGAGACAGCAATGTACGTGAAAAGAAAAACAGTCACACCTTAAGGGGTTAAATGCAGATGAGGGTGAGCTGAGAGGTGGAGGATACAATCTGAAGGAAACCTATGTTCGTCTAAAATCACTGACACTATTATTATTATTATTATTACTGTGTGTATCATTACTGTCCACACAGACAGGAAGTGGTACATATATTTCTATCTGCAGTGTTTGAAAAATATATAAAATCAAAAGATGTGAAATAGACAGAGGGAGGATGAGGAGGAAGAAGGAGAGAGGCAGAGTGGGCAGACATTTAGAGAGAAATGGGGTTCCTGATTCCTCTCTCGCTCTCTACCAGCCTAATGAGGGTGCTAATTAAAGACAAAGGGAGAATGGGGGATGTGCTGCAAATTCAGTTTTACCTTTCCCTTTTTCAGTGATTTCAATTTATATCATATTTGTCTGTCATCCTGTTGCTCCATTTGACTTTGTTTTCCATTCTTTTTGACAAATTAATATTTGAGGCGTTTTACCCTCACACACTTCCACTTTCTCTCGTGTCGTGTCTAATTTAGCTTCTTCTTTCTATCTGCTGTAGTTTGTTCCCATCCTTCTCCCTCCTCTTACCATCTTCCAGCGTGGTGGCGTTGATCTCAGTACTGGATGGACCTGTCCCGGCCCTGTTGAAGGCCTGGACCACTACCCCGTACTGGGCATACTTCTTCAGGTTGTCCAAGGTGTACACTTCACTGTCCCCCGTAGCTTTCATCTCCACGATGCTGTACTGGCCGTTGCTGCCCGGACCGTTCTCTCTGTAACCGATCTGGTAGCCTCGGATCACCCCGTTCTGCAACTCCTTCTTCGGAGCCTGGAACAAACGTAGTAATAGAATAGTTAACAATGAAGTGCAGGTCAAACTATGACCCTGATTTGCTGCATTCAAATGGTGAGTGTAAGATGTCCAGTGTTAACAGCACACATAAAAACATGTTCTGATGTCTTAAAATAGTACAATTGTCAGCATGAAAACAATTATATCCTATGATTTAAATATATTTTTTCACTTTCCTTGAGTTAAATCTTTTCACCAAGTTCAGTCCTGGTCATTATTGTCTGTTTGTTCACGTAATGCCACTAGTTTTTTATTATAAAAAATAAAACAAGGCAAACTAAATAAATGAAAAACGAATTAAGTCAGTATACTAAATGCTGGGGGGATTTTGTATTTGTTCAAAGTATGAGATATATCAAATATTATTATCATTATTATAGAAAACGAGGAAAATGGCTTGCACTTTTCAAACATGAGAAAAATTGCATAATCTGGTGCAAAATAGTAAAAAGTAAAATTTTGAAATCAAAGTTCTAGATAGAAAGTCTGATACAACAATATGCTATGGGCTTCTTAAGGGGTTCTTGTTAACACTTAAGAGTGTTTGCTTTTTATTCACTCAGTTTATAATTGACCTATTAAAGGAGCTGAGGTTGAACAAAGAAAAACCCTTTACAAATCAGAAGGCACAAGGGTTAACATTTAAATGAAGTGAGGTGCAGACAGGTGTATGGGCTCTCTGTGTATAATAACATGTATAGCAGTGACTTTACCCTCCATGTAACACGTATGCTCTGAGATGTCATCGGTGTGAGGATGACTTCCATCGGCGGCCCATCAGGAGCTGTTAATGGAAGATGTCAAATAAAGTGTTACTATGAATATTCCTATCGCTCCTTCATACAGAAATAAATGTTAGGCACACATAGAGAAAGAGTTATTTCTAGAGAACGAAAACAATCACTCACGTGCTTCCTCGGTACTGATGGTGAGCTCTTTGCTGGGGAGGCTGCGGCCTATCTTGTTGTAGGAGTACATGCGGATGCTGTAAACGCAGGCCGGATGCAACTCCACGATGTTGGCCTGGTTGTTGGTGGGGGAGATGTTCCTGGTTGTGTACATGTGATCCCAGGTGTCTATGAAATACAAACAAGATTTGAGATGTAAGCAAATGTATCTTAAAGACATTTGACAAACAATTTGAATTAGGAATACCAACCTGACTTGTTCTTGTACTCGATGTCATAGCTGGTGATGATACTGTTTCCATCGAACCTTTGGATCCAGCGCAGGTTCATGCTCCTGTCCTTCACCTCCCTCACCTCCAGTTCAGGGGGGTCTGGTGGTTCTGTGTGAGAGACAGAGGAGGTGAGCGCTCTTCACCTGCAGAATTTCACTGGAGATCTGATTCCAAAATGTTATACATGAACTGCGTTATAAAGCCTAATGTTCAGTACGTCTTCAGGCGAGTATGTGGTGGAAATACCTTGCACAGTGAGTTGGATGAGCCCTCGACCCTCTCCATAGGAGTTGATGGCGTGGCAGGAGAAGAAGACAGAATCCCCTCGCTCGGCCGGGTTCAGCTGTGAGCATCAACACAAACAGAAAAACGTTACAATGTGCCAGATCGATCATCCAACCATAATGGTAAATTCTGCACATTTTCCCCAAAGTTAGGAGTTGAGAATAACCACTATTAATGAATGGTGCATTTATAGTTATTTCAACTTTATTGTACATTTGTGTAATATAACATAAATGATATACTGTATCATAGCTGATGTGTGGCAATCATTATTTTAATAACATTAGTTTACATTAGCTTATTTACAGTTTATTTGTAAAACGTATTATTCATTTGTAATTCTTTTTTTTTTTTGTAAAATGTGTACACCTTTAAGATATTGTTAAACCATGGACCAGAAGCCATTTATAAACCTAAATAACTTTTTAAACATGGATTACATAGTATTTATTAACCATTTTCAAAGGTATTATAATCATCAGTTGCAGCTTTAGATAAGCCATTCAAATCATGTTTATGAACGGTTAACAACCCAATTATGAACCATTAACAAAGCGTGTCAAATATCTGGTCAATATACAAATCATTTGGTAATAACTAACAAAAACGTAATGTGGCTATTACCTTTTTATAATGTGTGCAACAATACAAAGTTAAAATAATAGTATTTATAGCGAGAGTAATCATTATTAATGATCATTTAATTGTTTTTGAACAACAACTGATGTTGTGATTACAATAAGCTGAGTTCAGGGTCTTCTCTGTGTTGTGTTCACTGTCTGTTCACCTTAAGCGTGGAGATGACTTCGTCCCCCTTCTTGTTGATGGTTATGGAATAGCGGGGGTTTCTCTCGGCGTCGATGACTGTGTCCCCTCTCTCCCAGCGGATGATTATGGGTTGCTCTCCGCGCGCCGTGCAGTTCAGCTCCTTGGTTTGGCCCTTCCTCGCCATTGTGGTGTTGGGGTGGCTGGTGATCATGGCGGGAACTGAGCAGAATGGCACACGTATGTCAGTGTGACGGATGGTATTATATGGAGTAATGAGACGAGGAAACACGGGGATGTGGTATTGGAAAGCGAGGATATATTACAGATGTATAGACATCTCTATTTCTGCGCTGCTTTCCCCATTTTCATTTCACGCTTCAAGCCCTGCTCGCTGTCTCCCTGCCTTCTCCTTCTACTCTTCTCCTTTCCGCAGACATAGATTATTGATTGAAGGGGTTCCTGCGGTTTTGTTTTCATCACTAATTCATCAGCCCCTTTCCCCACCAAAAAACATTGAGAAGCACACAGACCGGCAGCCGGAACACATCAATCGATAGCAAAGATACCCTCAGTTAGTGATGCGCAGGACGGAGACAGGGTTTAGTGAGGTTCAGTGCAGGCCACACTAGCCTGGGGCAAAAGTGCATCCTTCCCTCCAAAAAGTTAAACCTTGTCTCTGTGTACAGTATATGTGCAATCCAGGAGATGTGGTTATGAAAGTGAAAGAGAGTATATTGGCCCTTACTTTTGACGGTGAGGATCATGCTCTTACTGATGTCTGAGCCCACGCCGTTAGAGGCTTGGCAGAGGTAGTAGCCTCGGTCGTCCTCCAGCACGTGTCGGATGAGCAGAGAGCCGTTTGACATGATCTGGATACGGCCAGTGAGAGGGACTGGGTGGTACTGCTGAGGGTTTCCTACACCTGCACCACAAAGAACACGCGTGTTAGTGCTGGTTATTTTCTTGTTTTCTGTTTCTGTTATGTTGGAGGCAGTGATGATGTTACCTTTTGCATGCTTCCACATGACTTTTGGAGGTGGGTAACCCTCCACAGAGCAGTTGAGAACTCCAGCTTTGCCGTAGATGCAGTCTTGATTGTTGGGCTGCACCGTGAAGCGTGGAGGCACTGAGAAACAAAAAGATGAGATTAACCTCAATGGAAGGTCTTACAGTAAAAAGGTAGAACATGTAAGTGTTGATGTGACAGTTCTAAGCTTCCAGTGCACATTAGATATCTGATCTGACCTAATTCATCATCATTCTCTCCTTGCTCAATCCCTCACCAGTTACTATCAGCTGCCTCTCCCAGCTGACGGTGGCGGCGGCGTTGCTGGCGATGCAGGTGTAGTTTCCGTTGTGCTTCAGTGTCACCTTGGATATTTGCAGGGAGCTCATGAACTCTTTGGTCTCTATAGCGACGCCAGAGGCGGAGCCTGGCACGATGAGCTGGCCGTCTTTGTGCCAGGTGATGCGTATGGGCATGTCCCCAGATGACACCACACAGGCGATGTACATGAGCTTCCCCACTGAGGTAGAGGGGATGTCGAAGGGCTGGATGAGCGGCGGCACTGAGGGAGAGAGGAAGAGTGCGGAGAGTCAGCGAGATGAAGGTAGCGATAGACGAGGAAGAGTGGCAGTGTGGCCATCTGGAGCAATGCTGAGAGAGAGGGAAGGTCATTGGCCAGTGGGCCCCTCTTCCTCTCCCCCCCACTGCTCTTCAGCCCCCAGCTCCTGAAGCCCATAATAGCTGCTCTGGTTAGAGTCCAATTGGCAGGAGGAAGTCATCCCGTTGCCATAGTAATGGAGGTTGGGGTGGGGGTACTACAGCTGAGACATCTGGGGGATTTAATCTAGGCTTCATTATTATTCATCTAATTAAATCAGAGACACACTCACACGCAGGCACATGCACACACACTTACACACCTCGGCAGCTGCCCCGCTACCATCATCACCCGCTCGCCGACTAAACAAAATGCAGGCTCACACCGAGACATAAATCTGTCCTAAACACCATCTACCTCTGTAAACAACTTTGAACACTGCTGTATCATGGTGGCAGGGTTTAAGTACTCTGATATCCAGAAATCTCTATATCTAACATCTGGAAACTGCACCAGACCAGTCTGTTTTTATTATTTGTAAAAGGAAAGGCAGAGAACTAATGTTTACTGTGTTGGCTTTGATTTCATTCTCACTGGGTCTGTCACGATAATTACACAGACCTAACTGCGATAACAATATGAGTTGTTTTAAGACTATTTAATGCAACTGACATATTGATAAAATAATAGCAAAAAAATGCAAGTACTAAACACTAAACATATTCTTACTGTATAAGGTAACAATTGAATAAAACTAAACAGCGAGAAACTGTGAATAAAATGGACTATCTTACTAAGGGGGCGATGTCTGTATTGAATGGTCTAGATGGTAGGGTAAAGCCTGCTGTTTATTCTGCCATCATGTTGGCTAGCATTGTGTTGACATTCTTATGTAACAAACATGCATGTAACCATATGGGGAATATCAAGGCAAGTAAAAATGCTCTGAGGTTGTGCATATACATACTGTATATAAATAGTACAATAATTTGATAAGGTAAAAGTGATTGTGACAGGCTTATTCCTCACTACTGTTTTTAGGGATATTTTGTATACAGTGATGCCCACAACAAGCAAGATGACCTCTTTTGGGGAAAGAGGCCAAAGCTACAGTCAATCCCTAGCAAGAAGTCCTTGGTGGGTCACTCTATCTGGACTGATTGGGTGTATTTGACCGGAAAACATTGCCCTGTGCGTTTTTTATCCCTTTGAGTCCATTCTTCTCTTCTTACCTTTGACAGTGACGTGAACGGTCTGGTTGATTGACACCTGGGGCTGGATCAGAACGCTACACAAGTAGGTGCCCTCGTCCGCGCCCTTCTGCACGTCCGTCAGCCTCAGCGTGCCGTTCTCAAACACCACTTGACGATGATTATCGGGCAGCTGCATGCCTTCCTTCAGCCACTTGATTGAGTAATACGGGTAGCCAATCACCCGGCACGTTATGTAGGTGTTCCTGCCCGCCACAGCGGTGATGTCCCGCATGGGTCTGATTCGGGGTGGACCTGGAGACACAGGGAAGAGAGGGAGGGGATGGAGGGAGGAGACAGAGAGAGAGGCAGAGGTCGGGGAGAGGGGCAGATGAGGTGAGGGAGGCCATGGCATAGTCAGGGAGCAGCCACGGAGACGAAAGGAGGTGAGGAGATAAAGTTTGAGGGATAGAGTGATTGGGGCAAGTTGACAGGTGGAGAGGGAGGTTAGTTATGCTCCCTTTACTAAAGTCGGATTGAGGATATTTGTTGATTGTATTCTAATTAAATAGTCTGTGTAGCCAAGTAATTCTGTGTATTTTTCTATCTGACCCTCATCTAGATAGAAAGATAGATAGATAGATAGATAGATAGATAGATGGATTGATAGATATGTAGATACATAGATAGATAGATATAGATAGATAGATATAGATAGATAGATAGATTGATAGATTGATATATAGATAGATATAGATAGATATAGATAGATAGATATAGATAGATAGATAGTCTGATAAATATAGATAGATAGATAGATAGATTGATAGATAGATAGATAGTCTGATAGATTGATAGATAGATAGATAGATGGATTGATAGATCTGTAGATACATAGATAGATAGATAGATATAGATAGATAGATATAGATAGATATAGATAGATAGATTGATTGATAGATATAGATAGATAGATATTATTGATAGATAGATCGATAGATAGTCTGATAGATTGATAGATAGATCTGTAGATAGATAGATTGATAGATAGATATAGATAGATAGATAGATAGATTGATAGGTTGATAGATTGATAGATAGATTGATAGATAGATTGATAGATCTGTAGATAGAT